GAGAGAGTATTATATACAATGCATGTGAAGGAGGGATGCGACCTACATAAACATGTGTCCATACACAAGGGCCGACATACGAGGACAATGATCCTCGTGATATTGATATCATCATGCGACATTTAGTTTAGAGCATCAGACATGCCTTCTCAGACCGAATCATGATGCCTCCTCTGTTTTTTAGAGCATGAGATAGAATATTGTTGTCAAGTATGAATGGATATTACATGACATCATGTTCGACAAACATTTGTCATTTCAAGCAATTATTTCTCATTATAATTTGTGTTATTCCATGGCAACGCACGAGCAACCAACTAGTAAAGCATAATGTGGGAACGAGACTGAAGATCAAAAGATTTTAGAGTCAGCGGTTTCTAAAAATGAAAATAAAGAGTAGCCAGTTGGGCCTTGGGAGTTAGTTATATTATACGTACTGAGGAAAGATAGTTAACCATAAGCATGAGGAAGGCACTCGTGGCATACGCACCTCAGTTATTGTCAGACTCCGAGTGAACACAGAAGAGGACTTGTGACATACACACCTCAGCCCTCTACCAAAATAGCCACTCCTCAAGTTGTGTATTATGGTAGAATGGTTTTACCTGGGACAGGGACCAAGTGGTGGAAATACTCCCTCCTTCTTTGCATCGTCTTTCCAACTCAGGGCAGCCTTGTATGTGTAGGGATTCAAGGGCTGGCAACCGCTAAAGGAGACCATTCGGGAATTCCTCTATCCGTGGAGAATCATAGATACTAAATCGTCTAAGAGAAGTGAGGCCGTCCATCCCATCAGGTAACGCTCTCAGGCCACTGCAGTGATTCACCATTAGCTTCCTCAGTTGTGTCAGATCCTCAAGGCTCGAAGGAAGCGCCACCAAGTGATTGAAGTACTGAATCCGCAAAATTTCAAAGGACATAGGAAACCTTGGAATATCCTCGTGGGACAATGAAGTCCCACTCTCCAGTAACCTCAGAGCTTTAAGGACGGGGCTAAGTGGAAAACTTGTAAACTTAGGGCAGTCCTCGATCCGTAGCTCTTCCCGCACCGGGAATGTTACTAAGCTATCAATAACCACTCCCGCACTGTTTTCTGCCCAAATCATAGATACTAAATCGTCTAAGAGAAGTGAGGCCGTCCATCCCATCAGGTAACGCTCTCAGGCCACTGCAGTGATTCACCATTAGCTTCCTCAGTTGTGTCAGATCCTCAAGGCTCGAAGGAAGCGCCACCAAGTGATTGAAGCACTGAATCCGCAAAATTTCAAAGGACATAGGAAACCTTGGAATATCCTCGTGGGACAATGAAGTCCCACTCTCCAGTAACCTCAGAGCTTTAAGGACGGGGCTAAGTGGAAAACTTGTAAACTTAGGGCAGTCCTCGATCCGTAGCTCTTCCCGCACCGGGAATGTTACTAAGCTATCAATAACCACTCCCGCACTGTTTTCTGCCCAAACCTCTAGACTAGATAGATCATTCAAGAACATCTTCTTCAACTTTGGAAAAATCTGTATAAGGGTACTATGTCCTCCACCTTCTTTGCAAAGGTTATCACATAAGAGCCCCGCTTCGGTAAACCCCCCTCACAAAACATATAAAGGGTAATATAGACCTCTATCAAATCGTGTCTAGTTTCGTATGTATGAGGGGTAACCCGTCCATACATACATCATCCAAGTACCCCTCCGGCCTGGGCCGGCCCACTAACACCCTTCTGTTCTCTTCTACTCATATTAAAGTTCAAAAAATAGGCAAACACCTATCTTCGAACTAGAGACCTCTAGCGTTCGTATGACAAGTGGTAACCAACAGGCCACCTTAACTCTTGTGGTCATTATGATATGACACTGCTCTTAGTTAAAATCCGGGCTGCCCATCAGACTATAGAGGTCCAATATTTTAATATGGCCCACACATGGTTTGTTGGTTTGGATCCTTCATCCTTAATTCATTGCTCTAGTTAATCGTTCCGCTAAACACGTCCACTACATATGCACCCTCTCGTTGCTTTCTAATTTAGCCGAAAATTGCTTCCCATAAATCACGCCAAATTTCCTTTATTATAAAAAATCTAGTAAGTTGTTATTTGCTAGGGATCAGACTACTGATCCCTAGTGTTGCATCAGACTAGCCGAACACCGTAGGATGAGGCTGCTTCTGCCCGTTAGATTAGTAGCGTGGGACTTTTCTTCAGGCAGTTTCCTGGTAATCAGCTTCGTAGAATTAACTGCTCCCAGAAATCACGGTTGGACAGAATCTGTGGGTCCACCTTTATTTCCATGTACTAATTTTGTTCCACAAACTAATCACGCCCAAAAATCAAGCAAGGACGTACGGCCTTATTTTCTACTGAACGAAATTTTGTTTCTTTTCCTACTAAAATTAGCTTCCAGTACACGTTAAATTTGCTTCGATCTAATAAAAAACTTTATGTCCAATGTAACAATTTATTTTATTTTATTTAGAAACAAAATCTTGCATAAATTTGCTATCATTTATCGTCTTCCGGGCACCATGTTACTTCCAACCACCGTCGAAGTTTGGTTTGATCTAATTGATTCAACTTAATTTAGAAAATAATATGCTTCGATAACATTTATAGATTTTCTCTAATCACGCTTCTTCCATATATAAGCTTCCAATATTCGCTCCATGTCCATACAATCACAGGAATTTCCATACATGCGTGATGCTTCCTTTTATTCCATACTGGTTTCAATCATATGCTTCCTTTTTTTTGCGGGGTCAATCATATGCTTCCAACAGTACATGCCATGCTTCATAATTCATGGTCATATTTTTCTCCAAGCATTGTCATGATTTGTTTTCTGCTATGAAGCACGTGTGGTTGTATTTTGAAGCACAATTTTATTTGGTTCAACCATGAAATGTAGTTCCAAGTTCCTTATACCATCGCAATGTTAGTGTAAGAAATGAAGCACACATCATTGTATTTCAAAGCACAATTTTATTTGGTTGAAGCATGAGAAATGTAGTACCAAATTCCTTATACTATTGCAATGTTAGTGTAAGAAATGAAGCACGTGTGGTTGTATTTCGAAGTACAATTTTATTAGGTTGAAGCAGGCAATATTTTCTAGGAAATGTATCGTGTCAAATGTAACACGGATGCATTTTTTCTGGCAGTGAGCCATCAGAAGCATAGTTTGAGAATTACTGAAGCATGAACACAATATTTCCAAAGCATGTCAATTTACCAAACAACGAAGCAAATTAACACACAAATGCTTCGAAACATGCCACACATTATACCAAAGCACATATCTGAAAATTCAAAAAAAAAGCACATATCTGGAACTAAACTTAAGGAAGCACATACTACATAGGTTGTATGACAATACACAGAATCTGAAACATTTGTGTCTGTGACAATGAAGCACGTCATTCCCACTATTTAGAGCCAGTGACGTCGAGGAATCGGAAGCATCGATCGCAGGAAGCATGAGAGATGATGATGACCAGAACATCGAGTAGGAGCACCATGGATGCAACTTCGCCGGAGAAGAGGTCAACATGGCGGCAAGATGATTGTGCCGCATACCATCGCGTTCAATGTCCCTGCTGTCCTCACCACCTCAACTCACATCAGCCACCTCGCTGTCGTCGTCTCTCTATGGCAGTGGGCTCTGCAACCTGTAATGGTAGCTACCATGCACCGGTGGTATTTGGAAGATGCGTCAATTTCATGCAGTCTCAAGATAACACAATAGTATAGAGAAATAGAAGAATGGCTAGAATGTTGCAAACTCTATACAGTGAAGAAGCACAGGCATGATGTATATGAAGGTTCCGGTTATTAATTTGGGATTAATTTGGGATTGGGAGTGATTAGGGGACGTGGGCCAGAAAATCTGGTTATTTGTAACGTGATCTTCCGGAAGGATTTTGAGCGTCTCTCAGCCGTGAGATCAAAAATGAATCGACAGTGCTCGAGGGGTCTGACAAATGCTTAGCATCATACGTCTGGTAAGAAGTGTTTACCTTAGAAAGCGCCAGAGGAAGATGACGAGTCAGGGCGGCAGCAACATACCGGTTTGAGCACGGCACAACCAATGAGTGGCATTATGTGCGCGTGAACGGAGCTAACCTTGTAGGAGAGGGTATGTGTGGTATAGTGATGATAAATATAAAGACCTTTTACGGTACATCAATTAAATTAGGACCGTTAATTTCTATGGTTTGACGGTTCAGATGAGGCAATATTACCCCAAATTTTCAGTAGTATATGGAGCAATTAGGGGCGTTTTGGGTAGTTCGCTGCTAATCAATCCCGTAGGCACATTCCCTTCCAAATCAAGTGAAGGGCATAGCTGCAATTTCACGGAGACGTCATCGTTCATTTGGCCCACCCTGCTCCGTCGCCATTGCCAGCGGCTACCGCAACTCCGCACGTGCTGAGTTTGCGACCTGCAGCCGGCCATTGTCAGCCCGCCTTGCGCCCCAGCCCGTCCCGCGCATTCGCTCCCATCCTGGAGTGCATGGACGCGGCAACCGCGCCCATTTCCTCCGGCGCCACACGGACCCTGATTGAAGCGCCGCCCTGCAACATGCTCACCGACCGAGCCTCCCACGACCACACGGACGCCACCTCGAGCCCCATACCGGTGCCGAGGCAAACGCCCTCCGCCTCCCCTCTCTGCCCTCTCCTTCGCTACATCCCCCTCACTCCTTTCCTCCGCTATCTGCAAGCGCGTGTTGCTGCCTACTGCTCCGCGTGCGTGCGGCGTGCTTAGATTAGTGGACGCCGACTGACATACGCGCAAGACGGAGAAAGGGCAACAGAGGAAGCGATCTAAGGCGCAGACTGAAGTACGTGCAGACGGGCAGAGGGCCGCTAGGCGGGACGAGGCGGCTGCGTCGTCGCTGGGACGCATGCGAGGAAGATCTTGGAGCGGCGACCAGAGGCCATTCGACGCAGAGCGGTCGACCCTATGCGACCGAGGAGACGGCCGCCGGGCGGCTGCGTCAGGCCGTCGAGTGAGGAATGTCAGACGAACTGAGATGGTTGCGTCATATGGCAGTGGCATCGCATTGTTATTAATTACATTATTAATCATTATAATAAAATTAAAAAATCCACCCTAATAGTTAGTTACCGAAATGTCCTATGGCAAAATTTGAAGGAATTAATATTGACCATTGGATCAATTATATACTACCCACTATTTCAGGTAGTATGATGAACCGTAAAAACTCTCTAAATATACATTACTGTCGGTGGAGATCTTTGCATGAGCCATTGGATCAATTATATACTACCCACTATTTCAGGTAGTATGATGAACCGTAAAAACTCTCTAAATATACATTACTGTCGGTGGAGATCTTTGCATGAACCATTGGTGGAGCATCTGAAAGGAAATATGCTCTAGAGGCAATAATAAAGTTATTATTTATTTCCTTATTTCATGATAAATATTTATTATTCATGCTAGAATTGTATTAACCGGAAACATAATACATGTGTGAATACATAGACAAACAAAGTGTCACTAGTATG